TTCCTCTTTAAAAAAATAAAAAGACTTAGGAAGTAATGTGAAATCAAAACAACTTAAGACAGGCATCAGAAAGAGACGATTATATTCCCTCGCAGATAATCATGGGCAGGTACTGTGGCGCCGAAATGTCGCATGCTGCGTGCCTACATTGTGAAACAAATGATGACACTCTTTATTAAAGCCAAGTCTCTTTCTTTTCTGTGTTTTTTATGGATCTCGACTTCGTCTGGGTTCATAAATTTTGTATTTATGAGGTACTGATCTCTGATTATAACTGAACGATTTCGATGTCTTTCCAGGATTCTGACAATAAAAGAAGTTCTCAAAGATTTCAAAGCGTTTGAAAACGTCGTAAAGCAGCTCTGTTAACTACATCCTTAACTCGTGCCTCAATTTATTAAGACGATTTTTTTCACCTTTCACCAAAAGTCTCCCACAGAGAAACCGGTCTGACTTGGTTAGCTGAGAAAGTCAATTAACACGAGTAACAGTTATTACCTCAAACAAAGCGAAAATGCACTGATAAAGAGCTTCAAGAGTCAACAAACTGAAAAGTCTCTCGATCGCAGCATGTGGATTGATCCATAAGAAACTGGGAACCTTAGGAAGGAAATTAAAATCTTGGTGTTGAACTCATAATTAGAAGTCTGGGGAAGTTGAAGCATTCGAATTCAAAGTGTCTAGCTGCCCGTTGAGATTAACTTTTGAAACTGAGTCACATCCGCTCACCATATGACGGTTGGGTTCTTTGCTTCTATCGAAGTAACTCGGTTTGAAAAGGCTCTTAATGAAGATGTCGTGACCAGCGTGTGGTTTCAAAGCATCTGGTCACCGTAGGAATAGAGACACTTAATCAGTGATGATCTACCTGGCATCATAACCCCATTGAAAGTAAAATTGAAAGAAAACAGACAGATGTTCTGTACGATTATATGTATGACGATTTCCTGAAGATTTCCCACGCTCGCAGAAGTTAGCTCAAAGGAAAATTCCACGGTCCGTCCAAACATTTTCCCCTCCTTTGTCTTGCTGACCGCATTGATTAATTGGTTGATATTCTGCAATCAGCATTTCCTCGTCATTTGATTGGATCATTTAAAGTTTGGAGCTGTGTTAAATTGTGAGCAGCCTTATAGAAAAAAATTGGAAACTGCAATGCCAACATTGTTTGCTGTTAACTGTAATTTCTTTTCGTTCAATAGTAACTCAGCGAAATAATTGAACCGTTAGTCGTAGAATGGCCACAATTTAAATTGTCAGCCGTAAAAGCCATCACCCATTGAGATCCTCTTATAACGCTGATGATTGCCCTCTGTATACAAAACGATTCAAATCAATGTGTCTCACTTCCCGCCTCATGCTCGCGCTAAATTTTACAGATTGATAATTCAAAGACCTTAGTAGCTGAAGGAAGGAAACTGGTCGAAGTTATATCACTGATCTACGTGAGTTTGAAATTTCGTTTTCATTAAGAGGCAGTATTATCGTAATTCTGATACGGAATAAATGTGCGCCTCCCCTGTGACAAAGTAGTAAATCGAAGAGACCTTTAGTGAAACTGACAAACAACATGTAACCGATGTCAATAATGGTAGAAGAAGCCTTTAATACCCGTGACTGTTATTCAGATGTAGCTTTTAAGGATGTCTATTACCGATGTTTGTATTTTACTATCGATATAGCCTCGATTGCCTAAGAGCAAACGTTCATGTAAGACATAATCTTTCTCCAAAAGGTTCCTGTTTATGTACCTAAAAATTAGGTGTCTCACACTTCGTAAATATTGGCTGCCATGGTAATGGTTTGATTAGTCTACATGAAAGTAAACAGGCGACATATTTCTGAAGTACCAGTGGAGGTGTGGCTATGTTTGAGGAGCCTGGCACTAAAAGTTTGAATTTGTCCCCAGAAAAATAACGAACATTATTTTTGTCCCAGAATACGCGAGATTGTGATATTCCTTTGCGAAATTCATTTAAAACTAAATTCTTGATTTTAGTTATTGAGATTAACTGCACTTCAGAGCAACCACCAAAATTCAAGTGTACCTGTTTATTTTCAAAACAGCTTTTTTTTTTAACCCTCAACCGTCAGAGGTACCTTCCAGATACCTCCCCACTGAGTCGCCCATTAATTCCTTTGCTTAAGACTTGGCGGCAGTGCATGTCTAGACGCAAAAAAAGGATTAATCAGTTCTTTCTATATCACTCATTTTTTTTTTTAATTCTTGCTCTCAGAATGACTGATATAAATTTATTTGAATAACAAATTCCGCAGGCCTGATCAATTCATATGCATCTGCTATCAGTTTTATGGGTCTGAAGTTTCAAAATGGAACAAAATTACACTTGTTGATCATAAGGGTCCTTCCATATTTACCAGCAACTAAGTCATTTATTTTCTAGAGACATATAAAGTTCCTTGTCCATAATATCAATTGCGCAACTCACTATTGGAAGCCGTGGTTGTGCCAAATTATTGGAAAACAGCTGGTAAACCCTATAATAAGCCAGCCAACTAAAACAACTTTGACTTAAGTCCCATCAGAACAATAAAACAAAAATATATTTTCTTTTTACAAGTTTGGAGGTAATCTAATCCCCTTAATGGTTGAAGGAGGCTTAGTAAAATCAGAGTTCATACGAAAATGATAACCAAAGAAAAGAGCTTGAACAAAGGACGCCAGTTCGTTTTATTTAAGGTCCACACAAGGTTATACACAAATAAAATGGGACACTTTTAATGAAAAAACCGAAACGTTGGTTTGAAAGGTTCACTTGGCTATCATCTCGTGGCTTACCTTAAAGTTAACTGTGCTTCTATTATTATTTTTCCATATGTGCAGTACCCCCGTGTGAACTAAAGATTTTATGAACGAAACTAATTACCTTGCAAACACCTTTTTTTTTCATTGAAGAGGATCGCACGGGCCTTGAGAAAGTTTGAACTAGAATGCCTTATCGATTACTTTATTCTATTCAAAAACTAAACTCACGTACGTCATTTTTTCCTGGGTGTTTTAACGTTTTTTCCCTTTGTTCGAGTTTTTTGTCAAGCCAGAGAAATATTCAGTCTGAAAAGTATTTCATCTCTTACATGGTAATCACCAGTTTAATATCGGAATCTTTCAAAAAACAATCGATATCAATTTCACGACATAAAGATGTACAAGTGTTACTTCATAGCTCAAAAATTCAAAGGAAGTAAAACGATGAATTGTCGATATTGAATTTGCACTAAGTAAGCGTGGGCTGTTTCTGAGCGGACAAAAAGAAAAACATTACTCAAATCCCAATTATTCCTCCCTCGAGACCACAGATTGTAATAAGGAGTTTGTAATAATAAGGGCTTTGCACATTTTCCTTTAATTCTTTTCAACACCTTTCACTTAAAATAGTTTACATTACTGAAGATGAAAAACAGTCGTCGTTATCGTAGAAAAACTTACATTTCTGAAGTCGTATGAAGACCATGCTTTGTTCTAGAGACAGCGTACCGCTAGCTAAAAAAAAGACTACCTACCTAACACTCTTCGCCTCTTTCTGCTTTCCACGTTCCGGCTGATTGAAATCATGGTCGGTATTCAAATTAACCAAACTAAGAAGGCATTGTGAATTTTGTCAATATCGTCAAACATGCCTTGTTAAATATTAATTTCTGTCTACATAACAGGTGACTGAAACCTTGCAGGAGAACGCCTCCAGGAAGAAAATGGCGGGCATCTTGTCTTTCGCATGTATCATCACTTTGGCGATATACGCAGGTATTCATTTTTAGTCTCTTTCCATGAAACTTTGTCGCTCAAAGTCGCTTTATCTTGCCCAGTGTCTGTACACTCCGTGAATACTGGCCTAACCAGCGCCAGGGAATTGGGAGAACAGTGTTTTGGCATTAGTAAGCAAGAATTATGAGCATGCGAACTACATATCGTCAATCACCGTTCTTGAGTCCAAACCCAAATCAAAACAACGTAAAGCCGTTCGTCAGAAAAGAATTGAGTCCAAAATGCCGCAATTGCACACTTTATCTTACCGTATACTAGCATTCAACTTTGGTCAAAAATGTAATATTAGTTTGTACTGCTTTCAAATCCGGTCTTTATCCTAAAGGATAAAGTGGGATGAACAATTATGCACGCTCGCTTGAGCAGCATGGATCTAAAATTCCAACCTCGACAATATTTGGTCGAAAAATTTAGAATATTCATGCAGTACATTGGAAAGTGAACACAATTTCGACTCAAATCTCCGTTATGCTTGATTTTCGCGACTTCGTTAGTGTATTTATTACGATGCACAAGCGCTAGTCAACACCAATGTCAGTCTTTAAGTCTTGGTGAATTAACCCAGTGCTGCGGTTTTTTAGGCGGAAAAAATATTTAAAGTTCTTTGTCAATAGGATTTGAAATTTATGTACTTTTTGAAGGATAAATTTTTATCATCTTAGCGGCATAATCTTGTGGTATACAACATTGCGGGGTTCCAAACCTGATTTACATGCCGAGTTTTGATAACAACAGATACCTCTAATTCCAGATGTTTCGCCGTTTCACAGATTCCGGTAAAGAAACAAATTCAAAGCCGTCTATCGTTAACTGCGTTCAGAGAGAGCACCTAACTAACAAAAAAATTTCAAAATTCTTCCAGCTTTGGTTTCCTTCTAAATCATTTCAGTTCAATTTGTAGTGTTTGTTTACTTCGTCTCTCGCGGTTCATGGTTGTCTTTTGGCGTACTTCATGAACCATATGTCAATCATCTGATATCGAAGGAATAAATAACAGTATCGTCGGATCAATAAATAAAATTCCATGTCATTGGCTTAGAACCCTCTAGTGGCGTTTTGAATCCTTTCCCAAAAGCTAAGGAGTGCACTTCATCCGCTCGCGTATATTAAACTCGTAGACAACAGGTGTGATTTTTCCGATTCCCTGGTGCTTCGTTGCTTTCCGCACACTCTTTTTTCTGGGAAGGCACACTCAGGGCTGTATTCACGCACAAACATGACACTGGAAGCTGTTCGCATCTCGCATCTGTTCATTGCTATAATTTGGCTTGGTATACAAGGCTACGGCGATGGAATAAATACCGACCGCAAAAGTTTAGATGGTAATAACGCGACTACAACAAAGTCCAGTGAACTACAAAAGGATTTGGTGGCAAACACAACCAAGGAAGATGATTACAATGGCACATTGGGTACGACACTCTGGTTATTAGCATCTTTCATTTTTTACTTTTGAATTAAGTACCATTTACCATTACCTGACTACTTAGCAGACTGAACACTCGGAACACTTTTGACAAAAATCTTTGGCCAGCTTAAATGAATTATACAATTTGAGACGAAAATCTAGAGTATATTTACCTTTTTCACTTTACGAAAGCACGCGCGTGTCGCGAAACACTTAATGAATGTTTCATAAACGTGTCAGCTTCTCATGAAAAAAAAAATGCATGAGTTATACACAAGACTTTAGACTGATAACATCAAGTTCGTACAAAACACAAAGTACATTTACCATAATCTAAAAGCCGCATTACAGGTTGAAACTGATTTGCCTAAAAGGAAAAGGAATTATTTGCGGAATTCAATCTAAACTCTTATCTCGAACAACAACTTACAATAACGGAATCGCTTAAGCTGCTATTCAAAACAACAAAGCGGCGTTTAAACCTTTCGATTTTTGAAATTACTCAAATAATAGCCCGCAGAAGCTTTTTAGTAAATTGACGAAACAGAATTCAATTGATTTCCCGAGGCAATTAATAGTCCTCAGACTACTGAAAGGATACATAAATTATCCCGAGCCACAGAGAATAATGAAACATCTCTTTGCTATATTATTTATTTGCCCTTAAAGCTATGTTTTCGTTATTCATTCTTTGAGAACTCATAAAAAAAATCAAATTTTTACAATAACGCATTTTTCCCGTACCAGAAAGATATATCTTCTTCAGCGATTTTCCCTTTTAATTTTATTTGAAAATTTGATAATGTTGTTTAGAACATGACCTCGAACTGGATCGATTGGGTTTTAAAAAGTAAAAGATGCAGTTTCTTTTCTTTCTCGGACAAATTACATTACAATTCACCAATTTCAGTAAAATGATATTTTCCATGCTACTTCCTGTTTTCGACTCTATGGAGAATACTCAGTGCAAAGGGTTCCTCAATATTTGCGGTTGCTGTATCAGTTGGTTGAAAGAAAACATTCATTTACTTGGATAAATATCACAAACTCGTTTGGATGGGATTTTCAATAATCCAGATTCACTCAGGAAGCCTGCGTAGTAGTATTCTCTGTTTCCTTTACACCTGAGTCGTGCTAAGGCAGAGGGCGGAGTGAAGAAAAAAAAATTACGTCGGGGATAAGAATAGCAATAATATATCATTTACGAGACATCTTAAGCGTAGGCTTCGAAAAGGGGGTAGGTGATTGGTTCTTAATTTAAAAATGGTATGCTAATCTTACAATATCTGACACCGCGAAACCCCTTTTTAACTCGTAAAATGGCTGGAGGCCATTTAAAAATTGTTGTTATGACCCAAAATTCACTCCCTCTATCCACTAATCCATTACTCCGTCATTTCTTCCTTCACTTCCTGTTAACTTTTTGGTAAGACCGCTGACTAGCGCATAAGACTTTTGTATGTTTAGTTCCTGCGTGAGACTTAACAGATCGCTAAGAATTGGTCAAAATTTTTAATAGTCTGTATAGAAACAACGCATATTTAATTGACAGCCGAGATCTAAGATCTATTCGGTTATTTTACTGATGGATAACAAACAGGCTTAAATTAGACTGTGTGCATGAAGTACTTGGTTTTACAAAGAGCGACGATTATTTACAAAGTGCGACAAAAACTGGTGCCCATTTTGTAATGTAAAGATAGTATTGATTTCAAGTTTAGCCATCTAAGAATGCGTAGGCAATGCTTCACGATCTGCTTTTAGTGACTTTGGCGCCTTTCTTAGAAATTATGTTCATATATGTAAATTGACTATGGTCAGCTGCTTGAAAAATTTCCAACGAACTAGATATCATTTTCGGAATTCCCTCCATTAGAAATTTTTCTCAGGGAAACTTCGTTTGTTTTTCAATTTTAATTGGCATTGAATGCTGTAAGACTGTTGAAGTGAAATGGTTATATCGCATGTTTTTTTGCCCTACTATGTTTCGACTTAAATGTACTTCGGAAATGTCTTCTACGTGCGCTAATGTCCACCTCTAGGCCCCATACTTCATGATAAGTGAGCGACAAAACATGTTTCTTGTGGGGCATATATGAGCCTGTGTTTTTTAGTAAGTTGTGACTGTTCGAATCTGTTTAAATAAGTCGCTTTCTTAGAAAATGTTTACCAAATATTTGCGGTTTGGCGTTTATCGGTAGAGAAATCGCCTTAAGTACATTGAAAACCCTTAGGGTCGATGAGAAAAGAAATGCCTTCATCCATGTAAAATTGTGTAAAGTACAATGAAAGTCATATTGAGTTGCGAGAAACATGTCTACGTAAATCATGTAAACCGAGTAAAGACTCTAACATACCTTTTCTCCTATTAATTTCTGGGGTTCATACAAAAGCAGCCAAGAGTCATTTTTGAGTCATCGGTACAAATATATCCAGAAAGACAAGACACGGTCAAAATCGTGGACACCCTTAAGCTCTCAGTAAATAATACTTTCCGAAAAAGTCTATAAAACGCATCTTAAGTGCCTAGCCAACTTCCCCATCATATATTTTATATCCTGTTTTTGACAAAAAAAAATTATATCTTTTCGACAAATATCATGGTGACAAAGAGTTTTCACCAGCCCTAATTGCAGCAGGTAATTATTGATTGGATGGTGTTAATTTTCACGGGCGGCAAAATGATGTAATTGCCTGCCACCTTGTTAGGATTAGAATACAAACGCTTGAACCATGTTTTCGCACATCAAAGTCGCAAGAATGAGAGACGCGAAGAACAAAGAAGTCATATTACTGATTCTCTACTTAAGCCGTCATTAATCGCGGATTGTCATTGGTTTATTCTTATCCTTATACTAATGATTCTCATAATCTTTTTTCCACAAGACCATAAACGAAGAGGTCGTAAGTGGAGTAGTAAAGGGATTTTATTTGAGAGAGAGCATCTTTCCTTGCTTGTGATTAACCTGAATTCAACTGCAATACAATTACTAATGATTACCATGTCTGACACACTCAAAAGAAGCGGTGTTAGAATCAGTAATGTTAATCATGCACCATACCTTTCAGGCAGTTTTTTTCTTCTCCTCTTGCGGTCCAACATACTCATTTAGATCAATCTGTCCTGGTGTTGAACCCCAATAGCTCTGAAAGAAAGATGATACACGTATCATAGAACGCGAGAAAACCACAATGCGGCTGTAACAACACGATTCTTTTTTAGGATGAGGGAATACGTTATATTTAGAAAAGAGATCGAAATTAGCGTTAACTGGTTCGTTTGAAACCACAAAGGTATCAGCACTTCATAAATTCTTTACGAGAATCTCTGGCACCGCTGAGAGTTGCGTAAGGAAGAACAGCAGTGTCCAAGAAATATAAAAACATAGATCATTGTTTCCCGGGCAGACTTTCCTAAGAGATCTCTTGAACGACGCGTCCATGGCGTCATTATTTTATTATTCGTGCGATCACTTCTATAGGATGTTTATACCATGACGTCACTCGTGTGGCTTTTCCATTTATTTGCATCAATATTCTGAGTCTAATTAAGGTTGATCTGGCGTGGTAAAATTAATTATCAGTCAGTCTAAATTTCAAATGGATTTTCGACTCGAGGAAAACAATTTTACTGGTCTTAGGATTTAAGTTTAAACTTTTTGGAGACGTAATACATTGGCCTTTGAGTGTAATTTGCCGCATTTCTTCGTCCCAGTCGAGATGTATAGCGGTCACTTGACGATTCTCCACGGTTTGCTTTTAATTACCTCCACAACAATTGTAGGTAGGTTAGGGTATTCAACTATTTCATAATCCTACAACGTATTACATTCTTCTTTGTTCTGGCGAAAGTAGTGACTCATTTAAAACATAACAGATATTCGTCAGTGCTCCGAGGGCAAATGTGTGCTGTTATTAAAGTAACATTATAATTTTAACCACAAGATCAGTGTTCACTAAATATTCACTAAATTTATTCAAGAAATACTCTTTTTTTCATTTAACCATTACCTCCTGCTGTTTTCATGTAGTGAAGCTGAGTTACAAATTCTAATTCTACATTGTAGTTGAAAGTAAGTTCCCGGTTTAAAATGAAAAACCAACAATTTGTGAAGGTCTTAATTTTCACCTGAAATAAGAAAGGCTGTAACTTCCCTCTTAGTATCTGTTTGTTTGTTCGAGTTTCTCAGCCATCCAGCTGCGATGCTTTCGACAGTCCTTTCTAGAACATTCGATTTACTTAATCCAGAGAGTATAGAAATTGGTCTTCGCGTTGTTTTCGTTCAGGGTGGTTACCTACGCAACTTTCAGTGGCATGAGGTCGCATTTTAATTGATAACTTTTTTATGCTAAGTAATTTTTTCCCCGCAACTAATTGAAGACTGAAAATTTCTTTAAAAAATCCGCTGGATTATCTTTCCAATTTAACTAGAAGCTTTCCAACACGTTTATGTTCAAGTTAAAGCATAGCGATTTATTCTACCATGAAACGGGCCTTAAATACTGGCAGAACTAAATCATCAACGTCTTATCAAGAAACCAGGCAACAGCCTCTTTTTTTTTTTTCAATAATTTCACTCCATTTCAATCGATTAGAGTGAAAATGCAAATGAAAAAGGAATGCATTTTCATTTTAAGATTAAACGCTATCTAGATTTATAGAGTGGGAGACTGGATTAAATAAAGTAAAATAAGTCCAAAGGACTTTGAAATAAGCAAGCCAGCACTTGATACACTCCTACACAACTTTTGTACACATGTTCCTTTCGAGAAGAGTTCATTGAGAGATGTATAAAGCTGATAGTCTAGCCACATGCTTACTCCTATTGAAAAAAAATATATATATATATGTATGTATATATATATATATGCAACATTTTAGGGGTTCTCGATGATCAGAAAAGAAAGCAATGTTGGTCAGTGCTCTCGACAAGAGTTCAAGCGTGACACGAGTTGACGTGACGTGACATGATAATGACATGATTTGAAAATGACGTAACGCAACTCGCACTAACCAATAACTTTTAACTTATTTTCGGTATAGATGCAATCAAGAAAAGTGACGACGACGAACTTAGGCTGGTCAAAGAACTTTTTGAGAATTACAGCCAGGAAGTCAGACCAGTAAAAAACAAGAACGCTGCTATCAAAGTTATCTTTGGTATTGCCTACACTCAGCTCGTCGAACTGGTAAGTAATGTTAAGTGGTTTACCTTATCTCCTCAATAAGCGCCAACGCTCTAACAAGCGCCCTACCACGCACTAATAAGCGCCTACCCCCTTGGCCAAATTGTCAAACAGGCGCCTCTCTCGAATAAGTGCCTAGCCTCCTTCCTCGCTTTCTTAAAAGACCATGCTCAACCAGTATGCTTTGTGCGCCGATGCTGTTATTATTCGGGGAACGCTGTACTGTTTTTAACAAACCAACGGAACTGCCATAGCTTTTGCCAATATTTTCACGGCAAAAAAGAGGTGTTATCAACTAGAGCACAACTAAACCGCTAGTTTGGAAGAGGTATTTTGACGACGTTTTCTGTCTGTAGAGCACAACCAAATACATCATGGAAGAACTTGTAAGGTGAGCGCAAACAGCCACTACGATACAATCAAATACACGGCTGAAATATCCGACTCAGAAATTATATTCTTGGACACAAAAGAGTACAAAGGCGAGAGATTTGACAGGGAATCGACCCTTAACATGCAAACGCATTGCAAAAAGACAGAGATCTTCCAATACATTAATTCTTATTTCTCCTCTACCAGGTGTACAAATTCGACAAGCTCTATGCTTGACAAAAACTTAGTTTCAAACTACGCTAAAAGAATGAAGAACTGAGAGAAATATATCTCTGAATTTAATTTAATCGAGAGAGAAAGGTCACTCGAAGGCTTATCTTGCGATATCAAATGTTGAAGGTAACGAGCTATCGGGCACACCACGCTCGGCGGAAAGCACCACTGAAGACTCTCGAACTGTCTTTTCTTCTTCATTTAATTACTCAGTTCTCTACGCACATCCAAGTTTACTTCATTCTGTGCAAAAGATACCTGTTTCTATTACCGCTTTATTTATAAATCTCAAGCTTCTCCTACTGCAGAATTAGTACAGGAGGATAATAAGTGCCCTCCTTCCAAGTGTCCTCCTTCTTTAATGAACGCCCGGACGCTTATTCGAGGAAAAACGGTGCGCGTTCGCGAGTTTCAAAAGCAACCGTTTAACGACAGAATCTCACTTTAAAATTTGCGCGAAAAAGTGATATCGCGCAATTTTCGAGGCGATGATTGGTTTTTAAGTGAAATTTAACGCGGTATCCATGGTTCAGGTACTGAATTTTCTCAGAGCTGCGCAACTATCTGCAAATACAAAATCGCCTCACACGCGCTTTACAAACCATTTAAACTGAATCGACTGTATAAAACGGTAATAACACAAACGTGAGAGGAAACCGAGATGAAATTCACGCAGATTTCGATTGAAACAGTTTTTCCTTTATATCTCTTTTATACAAGCTTGCGGAATTTAACGGGTGGAGTAGTATTCAAACAAAAAACTTCTCAAAGCCATGGGCACTCTCTCCAGAACCTCGTAAACCCCTAACCCTAACACTAAGCCAATAAGCTGTAAGTATACCATGGCAACCTTTTTCTGTATCCCACATACTTGCATCCAACTTAGAATTTTTAAGGAATGAGAAATTTACTGCTACAGACCGGTATGTTGCCATAAGCTACTAAGGAGGGTTATACACATATGCCTCTTGGGTAGTTATTACATTTCACCTGGTAGAACTTTGTGCTAATATTTTCTTTTGACTTTGTTTAATCACAGGATGAAAAGAATCAAGTCCTAGTGAGTAATGTTTGGATAAGACAAGTGAGTAATTTAATTCTAACGCTCTCTTCTTACTTAAACAAGATTAATTCAATAAAATATCGAGTACCTTAACATTGTTCGCTCTGTGGAAGAGAAATTGAGCGCGGTACTTGCTTAAATACTCATTTTTAAAAGAGGCGTCTTGAAGAAAACGAAAAGTTGAGCAATGACCCTAATTTAAAATCCTTCCATGTCTAGCTTCCATCCGGCAAATCTCTTTTGATAAAAAAAAATCCATCTAACGCTGACTAGTTACTTAAAAAATTTCTGACATTGCTCTTCTAAGGAAAAGTTTACTCGTTTTAATTCAGTATTTCTACTTTTTATGACCAACATTTCGTAGAAATGGAACAATCACTTGTTGCGCTGGAATGCCTCTCATTATGGTGGTATTAAGTCCATCAACGTAGATCCCAAAATGGTGTGGCTTCCAGATATTGTGCTCTATAACAAGTAAGTAAAATTCTGCTTAACCATACCATTATCATGTAATTTACACCTTGGTGAAATGTTTATCAGTTAAACATAGAGGTTTTTGAAAGTTCTGCGCCCCAGGTAGACGACAGATGTTTGGCGACCAAAAACATTTTTGGTTATCAAAAATATCTGGACACCAAATATATGATAATGCTTGAATTGAGTACGCACCCAAAACACAAGACTACACACGAAGTTGAAAAAACTTGCCTGTAATTCAATGCCTTCCAGTTCTTTTTCCGTCTTGTATTTCTCTTAGCCCTGAGGCTAAAAGGGAAAAATAGCAATAGCAGCGAAAGTAGTTCGTTTTTGAAATTTCTAATTTTTTTCATACGTATTCTCTAGTGCGAATACTGGAATAACAAGCGGCAATATGGACCAGTTTAAAACGAAAGTGATTCTGTCCAGCGATGGTACTAACACCTGGTAAGTTGACAATAAGACTACGTTATTGGAATACGAGTATGGTAAATCTGAGACCACGTCTACGCTTGCGTTTTCGTTTGAAAACGAATACTTTCCGACTCGTTTTGGCCTTCCGTCCCATACTAAAACGTTCGAAAACAAAACGAATCCACTAAAAAACACTCTCAAAAGTGGAGACATCTGAAAACGCAGGCATATCGTTTTACCGTGGACGGTCGAAAATGGAGCCTTTTGAAGACGCACTAGTGTAGACGGATCTGAGAATTCATCTGAGTGTAAAGAGATGCTTAGGGTTATTTCATTTCAAACGATTTTATCGTTTGGACGTACGGTTTAAAAACAGGGAAAATCGTTTTAGGAATATTTCCGGTTATTCTTCAACTCAAGTAGGGGCATACTAGGCCACGTGGTTTTTTTTTTTTTTTTTGCTAGTTGGGAACGAGAAAAAATTTTCAATAGATATGTAGGGACACTAAACCACGAAAGATGGCAGACTGTATTTAAAACAGACTCTTAGTTCAGCAATCGCTCATTAATCCTCCTCCACTCTAAATTACATATACCGCCAAGTAGGACTGGTTACTCTGGTTTCATCGCCCATTTCATGTAGTTCTTAGGTATTACCAAAGGAACAGTATCTGCGAGACAATGCAGAAGTCTTGTTACACATGAACCTTATAGACTATGTGGCCTGACTCAACAACGAGTTAACTGCAGCCCAGTAGTTGGAGAGTCCATCCGGGACATCAGCATATTTGAGATTAGAAACTTTACGAGAAGTCACCGAATTTCTCTCTGCCTCCGTCCCTGAAAATTTTTCACTCATGAATAGCGAAAAAAATAAGGCACAGAATAAAGAGGGTTAAAAAAAGTGACACCACATGTATGCTTTACGATTTCATAAGGTATGCTCCAACAATCTTGAGGAGTCGTTGCGCCATTGACATCAAATTCTTTCCATTTGACGACCAAAAATGTGATCTCCACTTCGGTTCATGGACGTATGACGGACTCCGTGTTGATCTATTGAACGCGAGCAATTCTGTTGATCTCGTCTCTTACATGCCGAGTGGCGAGTTTGAAATGGTAGAAGCTCCCGTCAAGAGGACTATCGTCAAGTACAGGTAAGGTTGGCAAGTTTGTATTATGTGCAGAATAGAGAGATAAGAATGAAACGCTGGCCAATTATTCATAGAAACGTTAAAAGTAGCTGGTAAGTTATCCCAAACAGTCGTCACCAATAATACTCACTCCGAGTCTCCCTTGATCTAGGTTTGGTATACAGGAGCCCGGCCGGGGATTTTCCATATACCCAAGGATGATATCCCTTGTAGTTCAATGGGTATTTGAATGATTTACTCAAGTCCACCTTTTTTATATTTTCATGCACTTAGCTGTTGCCCAGAGCCATATCCAAATGTGATATTCACACTACACATCCGAAGAAAGGTGCTTTTTTACTTTAACAATCTCATCGTTCCCTGTTTCCTCATAACCGCCTTTGCTCTCCTGACCTTCGTTTTACCACCCAACACCGGAGAGAGAGTTACACTCGTGATCACCACATTGCTAGCGATGACTGTCTTTATGCTGATGATTGCCGAGAACACCCCGACCACTTCAGACGTCACGCCTTTGATCGGCAAATTCTTCGTCGCCTCCATGGTGGAGATAGGACTAGCTCTGATTGCTACGTGTTTCGTTCTTAACATCTACGAAGCAACCGGACCGAGCTCTGAAGTGCCTCGCTGGGTGCGTGTCCTTCTAATCGATATCCTGGCACCCATTCTCCGAGTTACTCGACCCAAGGAGAAACCTCAGCGCAAATTTCACGGCCCGGGCAATCAGAATATTCACTCGTATAGCCCGATCATGCCCGAACACAATGGAAACAATATAGAAATGGATGGAAGTCCAAGGGATGTACTCGTCATCGCACCAAAGGTCGGCGAGAAGATCCTGACCTCACGAGACTTCATCAATTCTGTAAACGACAATAGTATCAGACACAGAGTGCCTTCCTCGCAGGAAAAGCTCCTGGAAGGCATCAACGTGCTCACCGAACGAGCCAAAGAACAGGAAAAAGAGGAAGAGATTAAAGAAGAATGGGAATCAGTGGCCAAAGTTATAGACCGCTTCTTTTTATTACTTTTTATTGCAACAGTGGCCATATCGACAGCGCTTATCTTTTTACAGCGGCCAAGTTACGCCACGATGTAAGTGAACGGGGCCCAAAAGTGTTTGAAAAGCTTTAAGTACCGCCCAGTTTCCTCCCCAGGCTGAGGAGAATTGGTTGCATGTCTTGAGCAGCCACATCGTAAGTGGCCTGTTTTCGAGGAAACCATACCATATTAATGGGACACTGCTCGATAAGGTTTGTTGTTTCGAGTAAAGAATTTAAATCCTTAAAAAATTAAGGAAAGGCTGGAAGATACAGTTTTTGAAATAAATGTTTAAATAGACTTTGACGAACCATTTAGAATAAAGGGGATTTCTACGAAATAATCTAAAAGAGACTTCGAGGTTGTGGTTAGACGGCCGCAAAAGTGAGTTACTTTTGAATGGAACGCTTTGATAGACATTCCATTTTTTAGATGGTTCCCCGTGTAACTGAGAGAGGATATAATTATTTTAATCGTGAACTGTTATTCAATTTTGTTTTATTCTTTCTTTTTTCTAATTTCACGATATTGTTTTGCAGTTTACAACAAGTTATTTAGTAGTGAAAATTAAATATTTTCGCAGCGCGCGAAAGGAGAAGGTTTAATATAACAACACAGTTTTTTAAACATACGAAAACATATGAGGCTTTTAATCTATTATAATTGAATCAAAATGTAACTGACGATTTTCATACCAAAATGCTGAACTTTAAGACTGTTTACAGTTTGTTTAAAATCTTTTGCCTTCCGCTAGCTTTTTGTATGTAGATTTTTAGATTTTCAATGTCATATAGTTGTTTTTCTTGCAGTTTTTCGATCCTCGTGTATCCAGAGCGGTTGTTTTCCTTTAAATGTAATTCATTGTATAAATAGAATTTGCAAGAAATCAGACGGAAATTAATTTGATAGGTAAAAATAAAAATTTCTCAATAGAAGTCTCGGTCACAGCTCTATAAATCTGCCATAAATACAAAAAGGATTTGAACTCCCTAAAAAAATCAACTACAAAGATCACAGCAATGTGCATGTAAAATCGTTTTGCCTTACAGGAAATTAAAATTTTTACATCACTTGGACGCCACGCTCTACGATTGGACGAAAATCTTCCTTTTACCACATTTAGGATGCTGTGAGAACATCCGAAACGTTAATTAGCCGTGAGAGGGAGGGAAATGATCTATTAACTTTTGTCCTGTTAAACTTTCCCTGCAACATCTCGAATGGCTTCTTACGCCGTTTCACTGATAGAAAATAAGGTCTGCTGCATAAGACAAATTTTAATCATGCGCGTGTCGTAAGTCAGTTATCAAGCTTGAGCTCAAGTGGCCAAGTTCAATTCAGTTTACAGAATGGCAAAATTGCTTATAAACGTATTTCCTAAAGGAAGGCGGCTGGTCCGTTTTCGAGTGAGTACTGAGCTGTTGCTACTCAGGGCTAACGAGCGGGAAAGGAGATCTCTTTGTGTAGCATTATTGATTTAAACTTACTCGGATATAGATCAGAGTTTGAAAAGCTTTGTATGCGATAACAAGTCCTCTTTCGGTTCTACACGACATTCTCTTAAGAAACTATCACTTTTTTTAATTGCTTAAGTTGTTTTTTTTCCACATTTTTGAATCTTGATTTCGGCTCTGCAATGTTTTAAATTTAATTGTTTATAGTGGTTTACTTTAATGACTGATTCTTAAATTTAGTAGAATTATTGAGTCTTTTAGTAAGCAAAAAGGAAACTACACGTATCTTTACATCGAGTAGATCAAAAACTCACACCAGTTATAGAAAGTTTAGCAAGGTAGTCGGCTAACAGGTGAAAACTGTGGGACATGACTTTTTACCAATATTCATTTTACAGTGCATTTACTGAAACTGGAGCCACCTAGGCAATGAAAAAAAATCAGAATGCAGAACTGAAATAAAAAGTTCCAATATTTTCGGATGCAGCCAATCAAAGATAAAGAACTAAACAGTGAAATTACAATTTGATTGTTCCCCGGTAATGGTCACTCTACTTCAATGACGGTTAAATGTCTAACTCTGACCGTTGTTTCTGAGATACTTCCGCATGCTTGGGGCTTTAAGAGTACGAATTGGAAGGATTGAATGCTGCCCTAAGTTACTTCTTGCTTGTTAGTTGATTTCTAGAGTAAATTAACCAAAATTAGGGTAGAAGAGTGCTTTAATGCGTAAAGTCAGCAAAGTACATGAACGCTTTGATTCTGTAGGATGTTTTGTTTGGATGGGCCCGGTTTCATGAAAGGCACGATGAGCAATTTTTACTGCTTCCTCAAGAAAAGTTATATTCTAGTATTTAGGGAGAACGGTAAACTTACACACTGTTAGGACTATTTAATTTAAAGTAATTCTTGTAGTGATAGTCACATTATTTGTTTGCTGTTAGTCTTCATTTCTTTCCCAAACAGTCATACACATGTGCGTGGTATGAAGTAGCTTAGAGGAGCTTGGTCAAAAAGATCCAATGAAACATTTCCCATTTTAGGGGTTACAGTTTGCTTTCCAATGTTCTTTCTCCCTTGGGTAACAGTATCTCAATGAAAAATTTCTCCTTCTCTCTACACGAGATAACAGTTAGCTTCGTTTGCAATCCTTCCCTTTACCTAGATAAAAGTTTCCTCCCAAATTCCTGAGTTCTAACACTTTCCTCTCCCTGGAGAAAAGTTTTCTCAATATTTTCATTCTCTTTAAGTCCCTTACCAATCAATCGTTCTCCCTCGTACAAAGATAAACGCGGTTAAATTCTTCATTTTCTCTGTAGTGCCGGTTTCCTCAGGCAATCCTTCCTTGTGACGGTCATTTTTACCGGATATCTCCCGTTTCGGTTCGTTTTTTAACTCGTGAATTGCGCGCATGCGCAAGAGCGAGTTATAGATACGATGTAGGGAATGGCATTCGCTCGCTCGATTGGTCGATTCCTGTAAACTTTTTTTAGATTTTAGGCTTTTGAGTGCATTTTATAGTTTTTGGCGAGCAATAAACAGACGAAATGGCGACCTTTGTTGCTAAGAATAGTGGTGGGGTGAAAAAGAAGCCAATGATAATCTTAAAAGAGTTTTTTTTTTCGTTTTAGTTTCAACAAGCGACGCCAGCGACTGGCAGGCATGCAAGGATTCACACTGAAATAACAGAACAACCTTCGTTTTTCATAAAATTGTAATTTACAATCCTTGAACTTGAAAACAATCCGAAGATTCATTGAAAATATCACTTACTGCGAAGCGCTCGGAGTTTACAGATGTTCAAAAGCTTTTTCTGTTATAGCGTGAGATTGAGGACAAAATTGATCATTACGTTTCGTCGCGTGTGTTTTTCCTGTGTGAAGCAACAAAAGATGCCGGCGACTGACGAAATAACAAGTTAACACGAAAATCAGATAACACCTAAACAAACAATTTCAGCTACCGATTTTCAGTGAATTTTTAAAGAACAATTTTCTTTTAAGTTTCAAGACAATTTGAAGATTCAACATACATACAACGTACTAAAATGCGAAAGTTACACACCACAAAATTGATAAATAGGCCTGAAATGAAATTCTATCTTGTTATTGATCATACGTTGCCTAGCACGTGACCTAAATCTACCCAGGCGGAGATCCAAAATGACGGTGGCAGGCTTGGCTTAGTTATATCACTCAAAACTCGTTCCCGTTTGTCTCATTTGATAAAGAGGGAATCGTTAATGTTTTCATTAAGACAGTATTGCCTTGATTTTCTAATATTTACAACGAAAGACAGTAAATTTCACTTTTCACCCACATTTACTTCCAACCTTTTCTTTTGAACCAGAAACAAAAATGATAGACGTTTAAAACACATGACATCATCCACCTTGTCAAATGTAATAGCATGATCATTTCAATTGTATTACTTTGTTTCTTTGCTACATTAGCGAACACTGAACTACTGCTCGTACTCTAGATATGACAATCAACCACAAAATTCCCTAAACCAGATAACATTAAACATAATCTAAAAAATCATGTGTCAATTCACGAGTTTGCTCACAGAGCACTTTGATTATTTTCTAGGAGAACCTTTTCTTTTTTCTTTTCTTTGCTGCATCCTTTCTCCCTAAACGCAAAAAATAGATACTGTAATGTGTTACGAAAACAATTAACTCCTTAACTCTCTAGAGATACTTCATGCCATCACAAGCATTGCCTATCTAGTAACAAAGTTTTTGGGTAATTCGTTAGAGTATACGCTGCAGAGCACTTACAGCTGTTCGAACAACCTGCCTAATTAAACTCATGTGACCAAGTTTTCCAAGTGTTTTTGTTTTCTTCTTCCTTTAATCGAAAAGCTCAGCGAGAGCATAGCTTACGAATTGAACTGAAACAAAAGCAAATACAGACTGAGAAAAAACTTATAATCATACGTTCACGGAGATTGTAATACATTGTTACAATAACGAATTATGCGTAAAGATGACACTTGAGAATTGGAAGCACCTGCGATATTTACCCAGTTCACACTAAAGAAAGGAAAAATGGCTGAAACGTGACAATTCTCACCTTTTTGTCACCTGCTTTCATTTCTTCTGGACTCGTCTGTTTTCTTTTCTTTTTTTTTTCCAAATTTTAATTTATAGTAAGACTTGTGATAATACAGTTAATGGTTTGAACGGGTAGCAGGGTATGGGGCTAGGGGGTTGTGCGCATCGGATTGTGTGGTAAGACCAGATAAGTGAGATAGTCCTAAAGATTTAGGAACTGCTGTGGATGACAAGAACTGGCGTTTGCATAACTTGAGCGGAAGTCATTACTGAAGGAAGAAAGAGCCCGCACCAAGCAAAAGAGAACTCAAGTAGACATCTTAAAGCAATGGCAGCGATTTGGGACAATTTTACAGGATATGCTGAACATAAACAAGAAAGCTTATACGCAAAATACAAAGACTTGCAGAGTAAGACTTTATTACCGATATGATTAAAAATAAAATTCACTGAGGAGTCCGTCGCCTCTCGCCCTACTATTCTCCAGTTTTTCCCTCGTTACCAGGACCTCTCCAGTAGGATTAGCACAATTCATTCGGTGCCTGAAAACAACAAATCACCCGCATTCACTCTTTGGCTAGGGTACTCCAGTTATTTGGATGAAAAACGGAAAAAAAAGTCTTAATTTATTATGCTTTGGTAGAGAAATAACAACGACCAAACAACGAACAAAGATTTGGTGATTAATAATGTATATTAAAAAATTACGCGCTTCTAGTGGCTGAAAACGAGTGCATTCTCATGTAACACGAATGTCAAGTTGTAACACAAGTGCAAATAACAAAGAGCGCGCGCACACTTTTAAAATTTCATCTGTCTTGACTCCCTGTGATCTTCTTTCGTGCACATTATTAACAAGTAATGACATGATTTCTCTTGCAATTTGGTGTAATTTTCAAAGATTAAAAATTGCAGTTGCCCGCCCCACGGGCTCGTGCAATTCTGTTGTCTTTGAAAAATTTCCTCGTGCTTACTAACACCAAATTGCACTCGAAATCATGTTATTACCTATACTAAGCAGGCGAGGCGACTCACTAACTAACCTGAACATTTTCAGAAAACTTACAAAGAGAGAAATGAATCCCTTTTAAGAACAGTTATCATTGATCCCTGCAACAAAGCTAAGTTCAACTTTCACTTTAATGGTTTAGCATTGCAGGAAATGTTCTCAAAAGTGCATTAAAACGTAGTTGCTGTTCTTACCAATGAAAATGCTGCTCACATGCGAGAGTATTAGGGAGCGCTTTTAGTCCAGTCCTAGACCTATGAAACAAGGGACATGCCTCTTAGTATTAATAATATTAGTCTTTGTCGTTGTTTCTGCTGTCGAATGATTGTTTGTCTTTGTATTCTATGTATTCGCTCTTTTCTCCTCTGTCTCTCAGGGCCGGTCACCATTTCTTGCATGAAGGGCGAGGGAGGGAGGGAGGGAGGGAGGGGGGGAGGGGAAAGAAGGGTTTGGATGATTTTGGTCTTGTCACGATCAAAGTCATCTAATCCCCCTTTAAGCCTCTTATTATATTCTTATGATTCCTTCCTCATTGGCAGTTGATTGGAATTCAATTTTCTGTAATTCCGCCCTCTATACTCTGTTGGCAACGATTGATACCCCTCCACACCCCCTGAAACCATATGATCCACCCAAAATCCCCCCACAATCCCCCTTCGTGATAAATAATAACTGGTCATTCTGTAACAAAATTATTTTTAGGAAAATTCTTACCAAGTTGCGTTAATCATGGAGTAATGACTTGTAAACACTCTGTCGAGACACGAAGAACACATTAACAGCTGAGTGGCGTCCATCACCTCGCAAGTTGATTTACAGCATTTAATCTGAAAATCAAATCATTTTGTTCATCAGAAACTGAAACACGCCAAGAAATTACAACACACTGGTTAGGGTAAAAAAACATCCTAACATTCCTAGTTTGTTTGTTTGTTTGTTTGGTTTTTCACTATTAACTCAAATATTAGTTATTAAAGCTTCAAACAATAAGATGGAATCGTAGTCACTCTCACTATGACTAACACTGCACAATCAATAAAAATTGGAAAAAGGTCAATAACCGCAAAACTTCGTAACCTCCAACCTGTCTCTGAAGTTTGTAGGAGTAAAGTTTCGTATGGCTGGGATACTCCATTAGATGATCGATAAGATGTCCGCGGCCGTCGCATAAAATTAATCTGGAAAAGAAGATTTATATCTTAATAAAACACAGAAAATTCACCAAATTACCTGTCATTTTTTTCGTTTCGCTCTCTTTATGTACCACGTTGTGAAAGGCCGATCACTGGTTTTGTAATGATCATACTTCACAGTGAATTGTTTATACACTAAAACAACAACTTACAGCAACAAAAACAAAAGAAAAAAAATCACTCTCACAAAAAAAAAGAAAAGGAATCAAGTATATAATTCTCTTAAAAATAATCAGTGAAAAATCAACAATCATCACTTGCTGGAAATTCGTGTGACTTGGTACCAATAGCTATTCTTTTCACTTACCCACACTCAAAACAGTATGCCAGGTTTGACCTCACGCCACAGTCACTACACTTTGCATCTTTGGATTCGCGAAGCATGTGACATCTGGTCGCAGAGAAAGGGATAGGAAATTGTTTCAGGAACACTGATACATTGATTCTACATTCTCAGAAATTTGACTCCAAACCTTCACCCCCAACCTTCACTCCTCAAACACCAAGGCTCCTCCTAGCATGGTTATGGTCACTTCCCGAAAGCAGCACATTCAGCTTGCTCCATGTTCTCATAAGTCATAAGTGGCTAAGCGAGCTCTTAAAATAACTAGATACCGCATTCCCTCGAATAGAGGCATCCCACTAGCTTATTATCGTAGAAATCACTAGACTAGAAAATGGTCTGGTTGTTCCTGGGAAGTTAACGGCATTTACCAAGAGCGCGGCAATAGGAGAAAAATTAAAAGATTAGAAAGCTGATAGAGGTAGATTTAACTGGAAGCGCCTTGAATGAACTATTCTCCTGTACTGATTCCGCTGTAGTACAAGCTTTTAAAAAATCAATTACGTGACAATAGTAACAGGTTTTCCTTTGTTCCTACTAGGTGAAAAACAGAGGGAGGAGAAGGAGGGGCGTTTTTTCGAGAGGAGCGCTTGTTTAACATTATGGCCAAAAGGGACTTATCTGAGCGTGGGCGCTTACCTGAGCGTGGGTGCTTATCTGAGCGTGGGCGCTTATCTGAGCGTGGGCGCTTATCTGAGCGTGGGCGCTTATCTGAGCGTGGGCGCTTATCTGAGCGTGGGTGCTTATCTGAGCGTGGGCGCTTATTCTAGGATTTAAAGTGCAATGCACAGTGTATATCAACCAAACTTTTGGTACTTTTTCTGGACATATTTTCCCTCTACAACCCTAGGACATGCAGTTGTTGTACAATTGCTGGTATGCTCTCACCTTTTGTAATACTCTTTTAATCGGCTGGAGTCATACGGCCCCTCTGAAGGTTTCTAAAAAATCAATAATGACACATCAAAGAGATTTTTTTCGAGAAAAAAATTATGCAGACGTTCTTAAAACCAGTATTATTATAAATGAAATCAAACTTGCATGAATAATAATGTTACAAATAATAAACAAGAATGGCTTTTAACATACCTGTAGAGTATCACTGCAACTGTATAAAAATTCATTTTGCTGTCTTGCAAATCCTAAATGGACAATTGGTGAAGACATTTTTAATGCTCAATGTATGTTAATAAATTTTACCATAAAATAAACAAAGATCTACCCTATATTGTAAATACCTTTTAAACAAAATGGTTGGTGGCTTTAAAAGGAATGTACATATAATGCAAAGCATACAAAAAAATTTTCACTCACCAACTGTTGAGCTGACAGTCTTCACTGTGCAGTCTTGTGGGAGGTGACCAACCCGTCTGCATCTCCAACTGAAAACAATCAAAGCACCACATAGCTGATACACAGTAGCTCCTTGAAACTTAAAACAATTCTATAATCTTCAAGTTATTAAATTGAGTGGAATTTCATCACAGTGCTAGAAAAAAAGACCCTAAAAAAAGACCCTAAAAAAAGACCCTAAAAAAAGACCCTATGAATATGGTTCTACTTTTGACATGGTGAAGCCATACATGTGAGGTTCAGCCTGGATCACCAACACCCCTGGGGACTGCGCTTAATAGCCAGGATAATCAAGAGTCCGAATAATCGAAAATATGATTATAAATGGTTATAGATAGTGGGACCAGAGAAGCAAGTCCATATAATAAAAAAATTCTGGATAATTGAGGTTTCAGTGTACTTAGTTTTGGTCTGTGGCTATAAAATACGTGTACTAATGAAGTGTCATTTTAGATTCAAGTTGACTTGCAAGAATGGTGAGCCATCTGCAAGATTTCTAATGAAGAGGTGAGGGACTTCAAAGGTACAATGTAAATGTATATGCATGTGCTTGCTTCAAGCTTATTTGAGGTGAATGCCATACCACTTGTAGGTTGATAAGGTACTGATTTGTTCTTTGTATTTAAGCTTTGTTTTATCCCACATCTCTGGCTTATTTTCTGTATAACTGGTTTGATTCAGCTGCCTTCTGAACAAAATAAGGCACAAAAAATTGTATCAAATTCAGATACCAAATAGTAAATTATGTAATTTTCTTATTACCAAGAAATGGCAAAATATGTTTTTTGGTCTTGTTATAAGCATGGGACAAAAAAAAGGCAGATTTCATAAGGGAAATTAAACCTCAAGGGAACTCTGATTTTTTTCCTTTGTACCAGGAAATGGTTGAAAGAAAACTTTATCATTTTCATAAGCAAGACCAAAATTCACCATCTTTCTTATTCTAAACCTGCTTAGAAATGATTAGTTTCCATAATTGTCAATTGTATAGTGTGATTATCCTTCCAAGTGTAGTGTTAAACCACAATGTTATTGGTGACAGTGATTGTCGATTTGTTAAAAACCTGAATGGCTGAGTTGCCAACATCAGTGACAGTTACCTAAAAAAAAAATCCCTTTGGAGGCTGCTTAGTCAGCTGGATAATCACACCACAGAAACAACAACCATTTGATTCACAAGTTAAATGTTAATTGTTCACTATTTTCATCCTCTTCACACACCTTCCAGTTGATAGAATAAATGTCAATACTAAAAACAAATTCAAAGACACAACACACAAATTTAAAGAGGCTAACAATGAAAGACATAAATTAAACTACAATTTATGCAAGACATACTTTTCCTCCTTTGCTCTTGTGTATCTACTTGATCTTTCACCGTATGTTTCTGAGGAAGTTTTAGATTTTGAGCTCTTAAAATAACAAGAAAAAAATGACAAAATAAGTTCTTTATAATAGAAAATAATACTCCAATTCATTTGCACAATTTTTTTTCAGAATTGTTTGTTAATTTGATAGATAATGATTTTTAAGAATCAAGTACTTTGATTTCCTTTTTGTTGGAATTCAGTCCAAAAAAGTCTGTTTCACCCTCATCGGAGTCATCACTCTCATTGGTTGTAGATGAAGAATATCCATCCTTCTGTGCATTTTTAGAATCGTTGTCACCATCATCTGAGGAGCCACAGTCTTTGTATGCTATACAACAAGAAAAAAAGGATTCTACTGTAATGCCAGGGTTTTCTGGTTGGGGGCATAACATGTGTGATTTGATTTAACAAATGACCCAGGAACATACAAAGTTACCCTCAGCTGGTTAGACCCAGGAGGAGGAAGTTAAACAAAAGGTCTCCTTAGTTGTAAAATGTTATCACCAATGTTAAAAAAAGGTAAAAGCAGATGATTACCTCAAGTGCCTGACCTTTCACAGCTCATACCTGAGTTAAAGATCAGATACCTTTTCTTTTCAAGAGTTGAAAATTTGATCACAGAACTTTAGCCCTCTCATTTCAATTCCAAATAATGAAAATAAATTTAAATTAAAGATTGTTCAATATGGGGAAATCAAAAATAGATCATAGAATTATGAGTGGATGAGAAAATTAATTGCTGATTGCTCAGAATTCATAAATTTCTTCTTTTCTTCTTAGATTTCAGCTGATGAATCCCATGGCATTCATTTTTCATATTAATAATGCATTTTCTCAAATGGCACCAACCAAAGGAGGTAACAAGAGATCTGCAAGTTAAAACCAAACATAACTCATTTTTTGTAAGAGATTTTACCCAACAGTGCTGGTGGAATGGTAAGTGGTTCATCTAAAGTCAAAGGAAGAGATCCTGAATTTGACTTTGACACAGAGGGATCAGGATGTTCTTCATCCCCTTCTCCATTGTTTTGCTTCCTTCTTTTCCTCCTTCTTCTTCTTGCTGGTGATTGCCTCTTCTTACCTGAGAGCCAAAAAAAAATTAATGAGTTGTCCTAAAAGCACAGGCAGATTCAGAGAGTCTTTTCTACTCCACATATTATTAAAAACTTTGTAGAAAGATCTATTAAATATAATTCAACAAAATAAAAAAAAAATTTGTTTCACAGAACCTTTTTTGAGGAAACACATGAAGATAAAAATTTAAGGGTGATTTTAATTTAAGACACTATCATTTTGCTATCTAAAAGTCAGTAACTGCCTTTAACTTAGCAGCATTTCATATTTTCTGGACAGAAAGCAACAAATACCATCATCAACTATCTCTGCACTGTAGAAGAACTTAATACACTGTCTGCCTTGGACAAACAAATAGTACCTTCAATTTTGGAGCTTTTAGAGGCATTTGTAATAAGAGTTCCAAACACTGCACCTTCATCAGATCCTACAATGAATTATAGGAACACTTTTAATGACTCAATGTATAAAAGAATCCAGATGTTTACTATGAAAATTTTATTTTAACAGACTACAGACATTAGAAAAACATACTTACATTATTTCACAGATACTGTGGAATTATACTTGATCATTCAAAGTTCAACTTGCACTTTTTTTACATTTGTGTCACTTGCATCATATTTGTACTGCAGTTATTTCCATTCAACTTGAAATTATAATTGATAAAATTTTGACAAAATAGCGAATCTAAAATTTGCATTTTTCATGCATAACCACTGATTCATTAATGCAAACTTCTAAATAAAAAAAATAATCAATCCAGCCCCACTCAAAAGAATATCGAGAAAAAGAAAAAACCATGCAATCATTAGAATATCACACAGCAATTGACAGAAAAGCTCCAAAGAAAAATGTGCAGTCAGACCATTTGAATCTCTCTGCAAAGAATTTTGCTCACACAGAACATTTACACGCCTTTATTGAATTGTCAAACCAAAATTATCTTCTTTGTTTGCAGTTTGCACTTCTTTCAATGCACAAAACATTTTCTCCTTTGTGTATTTCAATATGTCTGCTCCAGCACCACCCCACTTTGGCATTTGTTATAACTCACACCCATAATTTTACCTGCCTGAGCAACAACATGTGATTGGTTTGAGAATTTCAGACAACTTTCGATTGGCCAATATTTTGACAATACCATCAATTTATAAACTTGAAATGTGCTAATAACAAATGGTGCTCAAGTAAGCTAAAGGTCATTGTTGGGCTTGGCCTTAGTTGGCTTCGGAAAGGTGTTGTAGCTGATCAAAGCCTTGATCATTGAGCGTAACTTTTGCTGATTTCAAAGCATAAAGATGGCGACAGAAGTTAAATCCTGTGAATATTGAGATTGATCCAATTGAAATGAAAACTGAAGAGGTCAAGAATGTTGACTTTTTTTCACAGAATATACCCTTCCCATAATAGTGTAAATTACCCAACATGCATAGGTTTTCATAAGCAAAGCCTACATCTCACCTTGTTTCAAGAAATATAGAGGTCAATATATAGTGATATGTCATAGGTATACATGACAAAGAATTATTTGAACAGTAGCTTAAAACATTTGAGCAACTGCATTCCTGATTCAAGAAAAATTTGAGCAGCAGCTCAAATCATCTCTATCACCAAATAGAGGCTTCCCAAAAGGGTATATTGTCACCAAATATACATAATGCCTTCCCATGGGAGGGGGTTAGGGTTAAGGAGTCACATGGACATAGCTTAGTAGCTCTACTCTAAACACTCACCAAATCTTTCAGAAACATTCTTTAGTTCATTCTTGTTTACTTGGCCTGTAGCAATTTTGTAAGCCTATAGAGGTTAAAAAGACAATCTTATTAGCTGAAGGTTACTGACAATAATCAGACCCTCTTCCAAACACAGGCTGGTATAAAAGAAATGTTATATTTATGTATTCTGATAATACAGGTGAGGGTGATCTTAAGAAAGACAGATGTTTTGACAACCTCAAGTCATCATCAGAGTTGACAAATTAATAAATAGATTACATGTCACTGTGCTGCATCTGTTTGGTAAAAGATTACTGATGACATCAAAATGTAGTAAAAACAAAACTATTGCACACAGGGTGCAGCTGAGAGTGTCACGAATGTTCTTACCACATCTTGACATCTGCTGTGCTCTATTACTGTACAGAGCCACAGCAACATGGAATTGATTTGTTTTATACATGTATGATAAGGAAAGAAAAATGTTGTCACTGTTGAGGTCACCTATTTATCTGTCTTCCAATAGATCAGCTTATCGTATCAGTTCACTATGACAATGACTTCTGCTAAGAGTATCACAATGATAGCCATACTGCCAACAACAATCTTTCTCAGGACTAACATCACCTGAGCGATTAGACTACATGGTGTTAATCCCAAGATCAAACCCTCTTTTTAGTGTATTTAATTGTTACATATTAAGTAAAAATTCAATGAGTGAGAGGTTTAATTTCAAATTTATAATTATAAGTGAGTGGTGCAAAGGAATTTCTACTATTCCACATACCTGTAAATTTCCAAGAAATTTGTCAAGCTTGAAACCTTTGGCATCTGTATTGCACATATAAAAGAAAAAAAACAGATTATGTCGTTTTTTTTGGGAACATTCAGATTTCATGGAAATGTTCATTGTATACATTGGTAAACAAAGAAGCTTACACTATTGAAAACGACAGAATATGATACAGTTCATATAACTACATATAATATAAATTATTAGTAAATTTAGAGGTGTATTCGAGTGCAAATTCCCTCAAGACCCTCAACAAAGCAATGCCCTTAAAAAAGCGTCGTTTTGGAGTCAACTTCCCCATAGAATTTCGCGCCTGGTGGGTTTTTTCCTTTCACCTGTCGTCTTGTTTGAAACCTGCTAAGTAAATAAGTAACTTATTTATTTAACCACATATCGCATATGAGCGAATAGCTCATTTAAATGCAAATGTGCCATAAAAATTGACATAATTTACATGTATAAGTAATGAGTAATAGGTAAGAAATAAAAATTAATTATCTAGAATGAATAATATTAAAGTAATCAATAATTTAATAAAAGAGAATATCGGTTTACAAAACAAACAGCTGCAGTCATACGATGAGGACAACTGTATGTCTTGCAAATTTTTCCTAAATATAGAAAGGGATTCCGACATCCTTATTTTGTCTGTCAGATTTTTCCATTGTTTGCTAGCCTGGTACATAAAAGAATGTTGCATGTAAGATGAGGTTGGTCTTGGAAGAACAACCTTAAGATGGCCACATAGGCTGTAACCATTACTTCGCAGAGAAAACATTTCCTGAATGTAGTTCGGTGTCTGGTTATGAACACTTTTATATACAAGTATAAGTGCTTGTTCTATGCGTCGATGTTCTAAACTTTTAATATTTGCAGTTTTCAATAACTCTTCGTAAGCAGTCGATTTAAAATAATTGAGAAGAGTCCTCAGAGCGAATGCGTTGGTTGACTCCAGTTTCGCAGAAAGACCCTTACTTAGACCTATAAACAGTGGTGATGCATATTCGAAGTGAGGGAGAATGAAAGCTTTGTACAATTTAGTCATCACATCTGAGGGTATAAATTTACGAATGCGACGGAGAATTGAAACTTTTGTGTTCACTTTCCGGCAAACTTCTTTAATGTGTACGTTGAAAGAGAGTGAATTGTCGATGACTACTCCAAGATGCTTGATATGTGTAACGTAATCCAGTTCATTGCTGTCAATAACAAAGGGCGTTGGACTATCTTAGGCTTTGTGCAACGTAACTTAAGGGAAAAGTGTTGTAGACAAGAAATTTCCTAATACTTTCTTACGCTCGTTGTGCCGCACTCAATCTTGGTTTTTCTCTCTTAACAATGATCTGGTATTTTTTAGAGGAAGTAGAAAAATACTCACACATATATGCCGGTGTCTTGTTATTGAAAGAATTCATTTTCAGGAAGTTGACAAAAATTTTCAAGAAGAAATGTAGATATTCTGTATCAACCGTGCATAATCTTACAGGCGCAGCAAACTGGAACGCATGATAGTTTATGAAATACTGCTGGCACGAGTGCTTTGTATTGCTGTCCTTTATTATTATTAATCTCTAAAATGTCCTCCTCAGTCCTCCTCCCGTCAGTTCATTTCCTCTTCGGCTGTTTTCCTTCACTATTTTCCGTTCTCGTGCAGATCAGAAGGATATCCAAAGGTTGTTACATTAAACTGAGAACTGCTCTCTCTACGTTTCGCTCTGAAAATGAATGGCGAGGAAATAGACTTTAAGGTGGAAGCGGAGATGGTGATAGCTGACATAGGATTCGCAGTAGAAGAGATGAGTATCTCCAACAAATTACCCTCTTCCCGCGAATATGTTTACTTGAATATTTTAACTAAAGAGCACAGAAGTATTTGCGTCGAACTAAGTGTATTAGGATTTCGGGTGAGTACTTTCATCGTTTACCTGGTTTGCATTACCTGAGGTTGATATTGGAATTTGTGGTAATTGTAGTGAATAACTAAGATTAACCAAGTGCGACCAGCCGAGACGTTGGAATCACTCGCGATCGGGGAATAATGTAATGAGTGAACATACCGAAGCTTCCATGGTGTTGCCAGGGATTTTCCTAGGTCATGAAAGATGATTACTGAGAAAATAATCAGATTATCAAATTCAGCGGCGTTTAGGGTCGTTTTAACGACCTCTGGTTTATTTAGTTTTATTATTAATGACAATAACTTCAAAAGTTGTCATGTTTCTTCTTTATTTTGAAAAACAAAATTAAAACCGAGTCTCAAGAAACTGTAAAAAAAAATCAAACCACTTTATCGTTATAAAGTGATTTTCCACATTTAAAAATCTAGCAGATAGTTCCTAAATTCAGGAGTGCGTTAAGTTTTTCATTTCGAATTGTCATACGTATTTCATCTTCTTCAGGCTGGTAATGAAGTTAATTCCTTACAGTGTTGTAAAATAAACTATTAATGTCAATAGACTGAAAACAAGCGATGCACCCAGCTGAAAGAGCAAAAAAGTTTCTTGATAAAGGCAAAGAAAAGGTTATAATAACAATTAATGTTATCTAGGAATGCGTTCGTGAAAAAATAACTCCTGACTAACAAAAATTTGAAGAGAGCTTCCTCTCCTGGGAGGGCTCTACAATAACATGTATTATTTATTGAATTTTGTTTGAAACACAGTCCCAAATTTGCATGTTAGAAAAGAAAAGAAAAAAGATGGTCAATTGCAGTGTTGAAATTTTTTTTCCACAAATATGTTTATTCCCCAGAAAACACTCATACCCCTTTCATAGGTGTTCCAGAAATTTTAGGGTTTTAGGCAGTATACATACTTAAGATCATTTCCAATGACCCTCCACAATTAAATCCAAGAGTTAAAACAGGTGCAATGTTTATAAAGTTTTAGTTAAATGACAATATGTTTTGAAGTTTATTTTTGGTAGTTTTATTCAGTTCAGTGACCATCTAAACAAATCATTTTATTGTTGGAGGTGAACAATCCTCGTCCAAATGCAAAGCCATCCAAACATTCTTGTTGTTCTCATCATTACAGTAAGGAAAACTTTTTCTTACTTATATCATTTGAAAAACTTAAGAATGGATTTAATGCAAAATTTAAATCAATGACAAAGCTTACCTGTGATGGATCTCCCTTTAATTTATAATCCCAAAATAAAAAGTATTCAAACAAAAAAAAACAAAAAAAATAGGAGTCTCATTTTCAGAGCAAATGCAGAGCAAGATATTATATATTCTTATTTCATCTCTGCACACACAGTACAGTTGAAAGGTAAAGAGGAGAGGTTTATTTTTTACCATTTTCAGGAAAACATGATTTTAAGTCTCCCAGTTGACTGTGATAAACATGATTGTTATTAATCTCCAACCATCTTTTGTGAACTCTTCTTTAACTCTTTTCATCCTAACATCAGTATGCATATTCTCCATTTAACAAATAGATTCCAAGTTGCTGTGCGTCTTCAGTAATAGATCACAGATGACGTCAAAATGTGGTAAGAACAAACAAGTGGCACATGAGGCGCAGCCGAGTGTGTCACTGATGTTCTTACCACATTTTGACGTCCTCTGTGATCTATTACTGAACAGACGCATGGCAACTTGGAATCTATTTGTTTTATATAATAAATAATTTTAAAAATTTTTAATGATGACGTTATCTATACGTCTGTCCTCCAAAAGATCATAAGTGAGGACCAATCAGAATGCGTGCATAACTGAGCTCATTATATAAAATGTTCTAAATATATTTCTTAGGGCGCTAACAAGGAGAACTTGTTTAACAGTCAAGAGATTCTTTAGTTGAGGATTAATTTGTGTTCTTTTCTTTTTATCCTTTATTTTTACGATCTTAATGAGTGATTCAGGGTTCGTATTGTAAAGTGAAATTGATGCTTGTCACTCTTAGGGTTCATTGGGTAAAACATCAATTTTTTATCTTCTTTCACTGTGATTGTGGCATTTTCTTTTTGCTTCTTTTTGTCATACATTTCTGTTGTTTCTATTTCAATTTGCTTTATTTCAGATCGTTGGCGAAAAATTTGACGACAATCAAGAAAACAGTAATTCCAAATACTATGAAACAATCTATGCCTTATTAGACTCCACAAGTCCAGGATATACAAAGTCATTTGGTGAAGCATTGGTCAGGAAGCTGTCATCACTACAAAGTCCTACTAGTGAAGATTTAGAAATACCTGATGAGTGTGCTGATGAAGCTGCATGTTCATAATGACATAACATTGAGACTACAGGAGTGTACAGTGTGTTTGTGAAACATTTTCTACTTCATAATTTTTAAAATTACTCTTTTTACCCTTTGAAAAGGCAACCTTCTTGAGCTAAAGAAATAATTTAGTTCTTTGTCAGCTAGAAATTTCTAGAATTCATAAACATTAAAGATTACATACCCTTTTATGGTATGCAGTATGTTATATAAAGAGACTCACAATAGTTTACATACAAGAAATTGTTATTACTGTGGAACTCAGGAAAGCACAAACATTTTGATTCTGTTGAGCCAGTTGTACTACCAGAAAATTATTGCTAACTAAACGTTGTTTGAGGTTTTGTATTCTCACTCCTAATTAGTTATTTGAAATGCAGCTAACATTTCATGAATATTTCTTTGTTTGTGGTATTCAGAGTTTCACAGTAAACCAGGAAACATCACTTGGAGAGTAGATAAACATTGCCACCTTCTACAAACATAGCAAATGATAACATTGGACTTTTTAATTAACCTTTGTAAACTTTTTATAGGCTCATAAATCTGTTGTAGAAAAGTAATTTAAAATCAAAATCATACCATATTTAATATATTGTGGCTTGTTATTTAGTAACCAGTAGGTGACAATTGTAAAGGTCAAGCCTGTCTGAGATATAATTTAATAATATAATATTCCTGTTAGTGGTATGGGGATGATATGGATCACGACAAAGTAACAGTAAAGAAAAATATATTTAAGCATTGTCATTTTTTTCCACATTTTTATATTCTTGAATATTTGATTATTTAACAGTTTTTATTGTTCTGTCTTTTTTCATAAAGATCATTGTTTTGCTGAGTTATTAATTGGTAAATTATAATTACCAGTGCAAGCAAGTTTTCAAATTTCAAATGTATATTTGTTGGAAATCGAAGTGATGAGCATCAGTCAATAAATTTGTTCCAAATAGTGATCTCTCATTTGGTCAATTTATTTGATGACTGTTGATTAGATTTTTTTTTATGACTTGTTTCGAAGTGGGAGTGATTAGTTTTGTTGTGAAAGATAGAGGCTTAGAATTGGAATCTTCAGACACATTACACCATGTAAACAAGGATAAGTGATATACATTTTAGCTTTATCTGGTAGCAAAAGAAAATTGGGGGACACAAAAACAATTACACGCTAAAGAAATTTAACTATCACCAAAATAATCATGCAGGGCCACATTACTGTATTCATCAGCATGAAAAGCTGCAATAAAGATACTTTGGTCCTTCCAGTTGTTTTAACTTGCCAAAAATGCAGTTAAATGTCATTAAAACAGGGTGCCAGTCTTTATTTTTAGACTCCAGACTCTTCTAATGGTTTAACCATTTCGAAGACCACTTTGTTGTGTGGTTAAGTACTTTTTTGTCTGTGAACAACCTTAGAAGGGCCCTAAAAGGACTTTGGTGAAGTGGCTGGGAGGGGCTCTCCTCCCCCACTAATTCTCCCTTAAAGCTCTCTTTCTTTCTATTTTCCTTCACTCCATCATTGACCAGAGAGCCTGAGGATATTTTTAGTATTTTGAGCAAATCAGATGCTTCAATAGGAAATTATCTTCAGACATTTAATTTCCAGTTCAGTGTATTGAAGAATGAACTTTTTTAAAACTGTGCACCTCTTGAGAATGAATTCCCTAAAGTCAGTCTAAACTGGAGACTTGATTAATACAGAGACTCTTAACTACCCTCCTAAATTCTGAGGAAAACCTTCCACAACCCTTCCTTGCCTTAAAAAAGATTGCCAATCAATTCCTTTCCATTTTAAAAAGAACTCACAGAGGCAAAAGCTGTTGACTTCTTTCTTTTAATTCTCAAGTGGTACACTTACAAAGTTATTTGCTCTTTGATCTACATATCATAAAATCACATCTTGTGAATTTAAATTGTACATCAAATTTTAAATTATAACATAATTATTATTTGTGATTATAAATCATTAATTATAAATTATAACATGGCATATGTCATGTGCAGTACCGTACAAATTATTTTGTGCTAGCTACTGTTAAATAATTAAGCATTCTTGCTGACTTTTTAACTTTTCTATTCTCATAGACACTGGCAAGATTTCAACCAATAGATAGTTACCTTAAGTACAATTACAAAAAATCAAGAAATTTCTCTAAACTAAGGCTCACTACATGAATTGAAACTTTTTTTGTACTTAAATATCTATCAACCACAACTTGGCATTTTGCACAATAAAATAATAGAAGAAAAAAACACCAAAATTATTTTGGAGAGCTCAATATCAATTAGTTATAATTAATCTGTGCCACTCTAACTAATTAAAATTCAATCCTTAACTGAGAAAGGTCTTTGGAAAAAATTGATTGTCCTTTTATATTGCAGATGCATTACGCACAAGGAACTTGTCATACTTCTGAGATTGAGGTTAAGTGTAGTTCCATGACATAAGAGCTACAAAATACTATTTTTTAAGCCCTAAGTGAAGGGTCCTTCTCACTGGGGCAACACCAGGCCAAAGACCCCTGAAAGACACAAAATATACAACAGTTCATCAATTAACAGTATGAACTTATATAATTAAAAATGATAAAAAATTATTTAACAAACAAGAAAACGTGTCAGGTATACTTATGGGCCCAGTTGCATGAAGGGTTAATAACGCAATCCCACAGATAAATCGCCATATATCTGGAGTGGATAATTGATAACAAAATGTATAGCGTTATCCACTGGATAGAGATTTATCCAGAGGATAGCATTATCTGACCTTCAAACAACTGGGGCCTGGTCAACAAGGGATAGTTTTCTATCATGTATTACATAACAATTATTATTACCACAGGATATGGTGTTCATTTTTGACAGTGAGAATGAAGGCCTCAGTTTGAAAATTCAGTGCTGACCAAGGAGTGACTGCCTCGCTTATTCCCCCGGTAGGGGATGCGTAGACCGTGACCTCCAGCTAATTCCCCGCCTACCGGGGAACCAAAATGGAGTGTACCTAAGCCTTTGTACCTCGCAAAACACCGTATTTCTGTCACGAAGAGCGAGTAACATGTCGTGATCTCGTCCCCAGTTTCCACGATCTACCCATGGAATGCCTTGGACCATAACCCCTCTTTTGGCGACCAATTACGGCTTGCATTTTATGAATTGGGCCTATGGAGAAGCCTTGTAACAAGAATATACTCTTGTTTACAGTTGAACACGGCTGTAAGAAAATCCGCTATCACAAACATTAAGTCATCCAATAATTTAGTTGTTACAAACCAAAGGTTGGTAAAGACGGATACTGTCTTCAATCAAGAGTGAAAAGAGTCAAGTGGACCTTCCTTTGCGCTTGAAGCAAGTAAGGTTACTGCAAAGTAATTTTAAGCTTCTTGAAAACAAATCGCGAATATAGTGTTGTTGGTTTTCAAACGAAGAAATTACGCTCTTGAGAGTTTTGCTTTTCTATCATGTTTTCGCTTCGGGTCTTGCAAGGCTTAGTAGAAAATTCTCCGTTTTTTTTCTTGTCCTCTCGTCTTTGCGGTAAGCTTATATATAGTGTCACAATACGTGATTTCTTCGTTTACTTTAATTGATCGGTTTCATGCAAAACTAATACACTCGAAGACTAGAACTACCAGAGGAATTCGACGAGTTGTCAAAACTCTCTTTTTGAATGTACTTTAAAAAAAAATGAAAATAGTGTATTAATTTTTGGAACGTCAAAATGAAAGTTTTACATAAACACCGGTAAAAACATTAAAAGCGAAATTTTCGGATCAAGAGCCGAGATAACTAATAGTCAAAATTTTTCGAGATTGAAACATTGGTACATGTTGAACAGTGGCTTTAAAAGCCTTAGCCATAATTTTTAGCTTTAGAGGTGAAAAACCGTGGTAATATGACGAAATTACACCAATTGTGTTAAACTGTGATAATTTTTATTGAAAAAGCAAAAGAATCAAAGTTTAGTTAACTTAGTTGAAGAGGTGAAAATCACTCGGAATGAACTGCGGAGTGAAAATTGACAGAAAAATTATCAAAATTTCGTTGGAGCCCGAGATATAATAGATAAATTATTTGCAATCAAAACTCATTGTTGAAGTACTAAAAGTATTGAAAAAATGCAAATAAGAGCGAGCAACATGTCGCGATCTCGTCCCCAGTTTCCACGATCTACGCATGGAACGCCTTGGACCATGACCCCCCTTTTGGCGTCCAATTACGGCTTGCATTTTAGGAAATGGGCTTTTGCAGAAGCCCGAATAAAAAGACTCACAGTTTTGATATATAGGTCAGTGAATGTAGTTTGGAGATAGGATCTTCATAATTAGCGACCATGGATCGAACCCGGAAGCAATGTTTGGTACTTACGTATGCGAAATATTATAACAAGAATATACTCTTGTTTACAGTTGAACACGGCTGTAAGAAAATCCGTTATCACAAACATTAAGTCATCCAATAATTTAGATGTTACTAACCAAAGGTTGGTGAAGACGGATACTCTCTTCAATCAAGAGTAAAAAGAGTCAAGTGGACCTTCCTTTGCGCTTGAAGCAAGTAAGATTACTGTTAGTAATTGTTGGTTTTCAAACGAAGAAATACACTCTTAAGGGTTTTGCTTTTCTATTGTTTTCGCTTCGGGTCTTGCAAGGCTTAGTAGAAAATTCTTCGTTTTTTTTCTTGTCCTCTCGTTTTTGCGGTAAGCTTATATATAGTGTCACAATACGTGATTTCTTCGTTTACTTTAATTGATTGGTTTCATGCAAAACTAATATACTCGAAGACTAGAACTACCAGAGGAATTCGACGAGTTGTCAAAAGTCTCTTTTTGAAAGTACTTAAAAAAAATATGAAAATAGTGTATTAATTTTTGGAACGTCAAAATGAAAGTTTTTTATAAACACAGGTAAAGAAATTAAAAGCGAAATTTTCGGATCAAGAACCGAGATAACTAATAGTCAAAAATTTTCGAGATTGAAACATTGGTACATGTTGGACAATGGCGTTAACAGCCTTAGCCATAATCTTTTGCTTCAGGGGTGAGAAACCGTGGTAATGTGACGAAATTACACCAATTGTGTTAAACTGTGATAATTTTTATCGAAAAAGCAAAAGAATCAAAGTTTAGTTAACTTAGTTGAAGAGGTGAAAATCACTCGGAATGAACTGCGGAGTGAAAATTGACAGAAAAATTATCAACATTTCGTTGGAGCCCGAGATATAATAGATAAATTATTTGCAATCAAAACTCATTGTTGAAGTACTAAAGTATTGAAAAAATGCAAATAAAATCCAAACTCAAGACAACTTACCACTCAGGAAAAACTTCTGAAAAAATCACAAATACATGTATAGTGAATCAAATTCAAACTTTATTAAAATTGCAAATTGTTTTGATATATTTTCATCTATTTTAGATATTGCCATTGGTAATCGATAAAGAAAGATATGTTAGTTTCAAAACGCGTAACTTGTGTACTTTTCTGTTATGTTTGTTGTGGTCTATTATTTCTTCATTGGTTAATGATTATTACTTAATAAGTTTTTTATTTCAATCAGTTTCATTTAAGCACATGTACCAGATATTGTATTTCATATTTCATCACTATAAGTTGCTGTCGACACCACCAATTTTCTCTGCTATTCATGTACGATCCGCTATCGGCAATTCATCTACAATCTTTAGGAGCTAGACCAAAGTAAGTTTTTCTTTATTTCACATTTAAGATATTTCCTTTTTTTTTTTTTTTGGATACGTACATTGATTTATTTCTCGCTTTCAGTTCACCTTATAATTGCCTCATTGTTAATTAGGCTAGTGTTACATTTCTCAGGGATATTTTCTTAGTTTAGTTTCTGCTGCACTTTCTTTTAGTTCGAACCACACAAATTCAGCTACAACGTTACCATCAATCATTACTATGCTATCTTCAATCCTACTTCTCCCTCTTCATCTTTGATTTCACACCGATCTCCTTATTTTCGTTTGTAATTTTGATTACGTACTTTGATTTATATTGTGCATTTGGATTGTCTTCTCCGCTACACTAGTAACCTTTGAAGGTTACAAGATATATTCAGTTTTATCAAACAAGTACTATTCTCCAAGACTACTCTTTGATTTTCTTGAGTCTCAATCAAATTTCCTCTATACCGCTAATATTCACAAGTGCACAAAGGACAAATTTAAAGGAAGACCTGACTGTATGTATGTAAAATATCTGAAGCCATAAAGGAGCTCAGTAAATATTTAGCCTCTCATAATCATGACAGTAATGGTATTGCTGAAAGTGTTTATTTGAGAACTTGGCTCAGTGCCCAGTGATGTGTGCAACTTCCCTTCAGAGGTCCTTTCTGCCACAGATTTTGCCCAATATAGTTTGTTCTGAGACTGAAATAAATCAGGGTATAATTCACCCATGGGTATGGACAATTTGGAAGCTATTACAGTGAAACTCAGAGAACCATTAAGACTCATTTCTGACTTGTCTATTATGTGCAAAAGAAAACCAATCAGATAAAAGATAGCTAAAGTGCAGCCCGTAATGTTACTCACTTTTATGGTTAGTGGCTTCTTCTTGTAGTTGGATCCCCCGTCTAACTGGTTGAAGAACAATAAACACCTGATGAACATTCCAGAAATAATTCTTATTGTTCAGTTTTGTGTCAAGTTGCACAGTAAAATTAAACAGGGTTACTTGGACAATCAAAGTAGAAGCATTCAATTGACAATTGTATTCTGTAGAGATCAAACTGAAAGTGTTCATGAATGGAAGTGAATGGCTAATATATTTCTGATTCCCATGTTTACTAGTCTAAGAAAAAAACCGCGTTGACTCTGTAATACATGTATATTGTTTTCCTAAATAATATGAAATTGTTTTAATTTTCCAAGTGGTTTTGATTATTTCAATTGTAATTTTTGTCCCTCAGAATATGAAGCCAAGTTCTATAATTGTGTTCTTGGTATTGGCAATGCTAACCAGTCAGGCATTTTCCTGGTGGAGCTCATCCAGAAGACGACGAGCTACAGTCCCCACAAGCTCTGGGTCAAGGTTTGTGGAAATATCAACCTTACCATAAACAGTGATGATGATGATGACAATAATAATATTTACTTATTTCTGCCATAATTATAAACAATGTTTTGGGATGTTGATGTTACATGTATGCCCAGTAGAATTTCCCCAAAATGTGAAAGGTGAATCTTTGAGTGTTAATCAAGTCAATTTTTATATGAAAATCTCCTAAATCTTACGCCAGAAGATTTCCCATTACTTAGTTTGCACTTGAATATTAATATAAATCCACAGCCCCCAGTGAACTCTTTGGTGGAGTTTAACAGGCCTGTCAAAAAGCTGGCATTTAGCACAACTCAAAATGACAAAATTCAACTCTTAAGGTGAATGACCAAATTTGCTTATGATAAGTTGGTAGAATTCAGTTATATTGAGTTATTATGGCATTTCTTGAACCAATATTAGGTGGGTTGCACTGCTTTCTAGTACTTTCCAGCTCTTGTACTCAACCATTATTTTTAGGTTAGAAACACCATAATTTTAGCTTTGAGCAACAATTATTCAAAAACAAGCTACCACTTTTTATAACTTGCCACGAAATAACTAACTAAAGCATAATAACATACAACTTTCTGTGCAGTCAAAAAAAAAAAAAATGGTAGGAGTAGATTCAAAGCCTCCTTAAATTTTCAAAAAGTCCAAGTGGCTCTCAATCCACTCCTATTAACTGTGCAGAAAGTTGTATGTTATTATGCTAATGTATAAAAAATGGGGAGTCACTGAGCCCTTTGTTAAGTTATTGCCACTTAAAGCTGAGATAAGGGTGTTTATAACCAATTAAAGTGTTTCTATGGTAACCTATTATGTCAAAAAAAGTTTCATAACTTGTTCACCTTTGGTAATTGGCGATTTCTTTGATACCATTATAAAAGTTTACTTGCTTAGGCTTGTTCATAATTATTGAAAAATAACAAAGTTATCATGTGATAATCAGGAGTCCTTTAGGCAAGTGTCATTCTGCTGCATTAATTTATGATTTAGTCCTGCAGGGGGGCCAAGTCGCAACCCAAATGCTGTGGTGTGCACCTCATACAGAAGCAGTAATTCCATCACATGTAAAAAGTAGGTGATCTGTAGTTATTAATTACAAGACTTATATATCCAATGTTTGCATTACACATGTTGACAGTTATTACAAGTAACCCCATTGAATTTTAAAACTGCACATGTACAAGAGGCCAAAAAAATTAATTTCATTTCACAAGCAAACTTGCAACTACTATTGGCAAGTTGTGATTAGTAGGTTTCACTCAGGAATTCATTTGGAAGTTGGAATGACTGGTTTTGTGCAATCAAAATATACAGCATCTCACAGGAGATTTCTGCTCATGCAGTGGCTTTTATTTGAATAGACATGCATAAATGTATTGTTTATCACAGGTTATCTGTTGTGTGCACACAACAAATATTGAGTGCACAATGGCCATATTTACATGGTGTCACAATGTATAGAAAATTGCCTAATTGTAACTGTAAGAGGATGTGACAGATGTCACAATTCGATGCCTGTGTAAGTTACTTGTAACTGCACCATCAAAGCCAGTGAGAACAGAGAAAGTGAACACAATGCACAACGAGGTATACCAGGATGTAAGGCAAGGACTGATTATTTAAAAATTCAAAAGCTTTTAAGACAAAGTGTTAAAAATTGATTATGTTAACTGAAAAATCTTCATCACCTCTTTCTTAAACAGGAGTGGAAGTTCAGTGACCTGTACCACACACCCACCCACAGAGACAAGAGATGACCAATATGGAGGACCCACCCCTCGCGGAGAGTACCTTATTGGCAAAAGGTACACACACTCAACGGGAATTGACTGGTACAATCTGTACCCCAAGAAAGAGGACAACTCTGGTTACTATGGCTACTGGCAACGCACTCAAAAAGGGCGCAATACCATGGGCCTGCATCCTGGAACACGCAGCTTAGGCTGTGTTACAGTCAAGAAAACTTGCTGGCAGCAGATTCGCTACATCATTGACAGTGGGAGCATGCAGTACCGTGGTTCAGGTTACAGTGGATTTTTGTACGTGAAATAAATGAGCAATCTGCTGGATGTTAAATTAGGACAAGCAGTGTAAGCAAAAGGCATATCTAAGGTAGATGTAATGCATTAACTCTATTATGATTAGGTATTAAGTATTAGGTGTGGTGTTAAGGTTGTTTAGTACATACCTGGTTGTTGATGTTATTTTGACAGCAATTTTAGCTAAGATTTATCAGCATTTCCTCTACAATTTTGTTGTATAAGGGTAAGCAAATTTAGATGAATCACAGACTGTGTAAATGTAGCAAAAATCGCTGTCAGTTTAAGGAAGGGATTCGAAATTGAAGCCTTTAAGGTAGTATGTAAACAGCTTTTTAGAAAATAATTGGCCTTGAAGTGTAAAAATGCATAAATTGAAGAATAAACTATTAAAGCAAGAGCATTTTGAATCATGACCATGATTTCTTCTTACCTTCTTGCCTCTTCTCGTCTTCAGTTCAGCAATAGATTACATCATGACTAACACTGGCTCAGGATAGAAAGAGAACTGATTTGTGTAATGTGTTTAATTTGATCCTTTACTTTTCCATCAAAGCCATGGAAAACAGAAATAAATTTTTGCCCCTTTTCAAGAGGATTTTGCCTTTTCATGCAATGGGGACCAAACAAAATCAGTGTAACAGTCATATAAAATACAATACAATAGCTTTACTAACCACTCCTAAAATATCAAAAACAAATTACTGGTAATGAACCTGATCACCAGCTGAGAACCCACAAGCAAGACTGTTTATTATCATGCACCAAAATCTACCATGATCTCCTCTTGCAACACAATTACAGTTGGCACACCAAATATAGCACAACGTTTCGCTTTTTTTTATATTCTTTATACTTTTCTCAGCATATTAACATGACTGTATTGCTAGGGGCCTAATCAGCCTCATCAACCCGAGTTGCGATAAAGTTAAGATCCATATTTACATGTTCGTGATCAACAGTGCTAAACAACAATCTCCATTCTATTTACCGTAAACGTCCATGTATAAGCCGCACTTTTTTTCACAAAATTGAAGCCAAAAATCAAGGGCGCGGCTTATCCGTGGATACATCTGTGTTTGGAGTTCTCAGAAACCTAATTAATATTCATAAAACTTCTTCAGATGCCAAGAAATAAACATAAAAGAAACTGAAGCCGTCTGTGTCTTCGAGTGTTTATCTGCGAATCTTGCTCTCCAAGAGTCCTTTCAAGCGATTCATTTTCGCTTACTCGAACAACTAACCACCAAAATACAAGGAATCTCTCGTTGTTTTTTACTACCTTCATGGCAAATTTGTCGACCACTATCAGGCTCCTGTTTTGTATGAAGTTTTTTGCCTATTGCGGGTTTCCAAACATCTTTATACACGTGGTATCCCCGAACAGCTGAGTCCAAAGGCCCAGACTCCTCCCAACATTTAAAGCTTGGCTACTAAGCACTTGTTTGTTTGTTTTTTGTTTTTTTTTCAATGCCGAAGGAATTTCAACTTTATGGCGTGTTTCGAAGTGATAATCTTGAAAAATCGGATTGAAAGAGCATTTTAAGTTAAAGATGGTGTAAATTCCAATGAAAAGAAGGTACGACAAATGAAATTTCGCTTTCTTTAGGCTTGATAAATGTGAAAGATAGCCACAACTTCTATGTCGGTGTTTCGAAACCTTGATTGTTTGTAGCAATATAACTCTGCTGAAACTTCAAACTGTATTGTTTTATTTTTTCCAAATTCTGCGCTTCCAAATTGGGGGTGCGGCTTATTTACGGATGCGGCTTATACATGGACATTTACGGTATTTATATCTATCATGTGCAATTATGCATTATCACAAATTAAATTGGACATGCTTGAGAATTTTGGCGTGCGCTGCTGCATGAACATTTAATCTTTAGTGGAAGTTGATGCAACTGGTATGAAAAAAAGAAAGTAAGTTCAAGAAAATGCGAAAGACAAAGAGTTATAGTATGAAAACTAACTTGCAATTATGTCTGAATTTGGGAGCTGAGCCAAACTCTCTGTTCATGAAAAGAATGAAGTCTCCAAAAGACGATGGGACTTCTTTGAATCATCCTACCGGTATTTAATACATAGAGACTCTTAACCACCCATCCCAAATCTGAGGAAAAACCTTTCACAACCCTTCCTTACCTTCATAAAGATTTCCAATCAATTCATTTCCATTCTAAAAAGAACCCACAGATGCAAAAGCTGTTGACTTTTTTTTTAATTCTCAAGTGGTATGCTTACAAAATTATTTGCTCTTTGATCTACATATCATAAAATCACATCATGTGAATTTAAATTGTACATCTTGATTTGTTTTAAATTATAACAACTATTATTTGTGATTATAAATAATTAATTATATATTATAACATGGCATATGTCATGTGCAGTACCGTACAAATTATTTTGTGCTAGCTACTGTTAAATAATTAAGCATTCTTGCTGACCATTTAACCTTTTTATTCTCATAGACACTGGCAGGATTTTCAAACAATAGATAGTTACCTTAAGTACGATTACAAAAAAATCAAGAAAGTCTCTAAATTTAGGCTCACTACATGAGTTGAAACTTTTTTTGTACTTAAATATCTATCAACCACAACTTGGTCTTTTGCACAATAAAATAATGGAAGGAAAAAACACCAAAATTATTTTAGAGAGCTCAATATCAATTAGTTATAATTAATCTGTGCCACTCTAACTAATTAAAATTCAATCCTTAACTGAGAAAGGTCTTTAGAGAAAATTGATTGTCCTTTTATATTGCAGATGCATTACGATAATTTTTAGCTGTTGTGCTAGACTGAGACAACTCTATGTACTAGGCATTTTCATTTTCATTGCTATCAGTCCTCACAAGGAACTTGTCATACTTCTGAGATTAAGGTTAATAGTTCCATGACATATGTGCTACAAAATACTATTTTTTAAGCCCTAAGTGAAGGGTCCTTCTCACTGGGGTAACACCAGGCCAAAGACCCCTGAAAGACATAAAATATACAACAGTTCATCAATTAACAGTATGAACTTATATAATTAAAAATGATAACAAATTCTATAACAAACAAGTTTAAAAGTTTTTTTTACATTTTAGTCACTATCTGAATTTAAGTCAGGCAAAACTAGTTATGCATTTTAACTTTTTCAGGTGCTGTTTCATTCTAATATA